TTGAGAGTGACAAAACAGTTTCTTCAGGCCCTCCTTCATGCACTGAGCATCCAGATCCTTTCATTTCCTTAGCGGGGAGAGGTGAAGACAAGCAGGTCCTTGTGACCAGACAAAAGACCCCTGCAGTTTCCTGCCCCAGTGGTCCCCTTACCATTCTGTAAGTGTACCCCAGGAGAGAAGCCCAGGGTGAAGGGCATGCAGAGACAAAGTTCTGCATCTGTGCATCATATTTATAGTATCATACTCAAATTGGCTGTACAATTTTGCAGGTGAAAATAGCAGGTAAAGATTCAGTTGGAGAAGCAGGTAAGCAACCCCATATTCTGAAATCCACCTCCCACCTTTGCACACCATCATCAGCTTTCTTCACTAGCTGTGACCAAAAATTGCAGGACACGTGGGTCCTCAGAAAATGTTGGCTGCCTTCTATATCTTGAAGGACCACAGATGTGACTGCCTGAGCACACCTGCCAAAAGCTTGCATGCAGCCTGCCACAGCTAGTTTTGCATTGTTTAATCAAAATATTTCAGCACAGAAATGAAAACCCTCTAAGGAGACATATCCTTACATGCAAAGCTGGTTTTACTGGCTTCATCATGGGGAAACCAAATCCACAAAACTCCACCTTCCAATACTTCTCCTGCTACACATCATAAAATATACAGTGTGGGAGAAGCAACAAATTAAAACCAGCCTGGCACAGACCTTAGAACTGAGATGAAGCCTGATGCCAACCACTCAGAGTGCAAACCAGCCATACGGCACTGTGTGACTTCAGAGAGATAGGGGGGTTGTGTGTGAAACCCATCCCCCCCACACACCCCCCAAAAAAAAAAAAAAAACAAACCAAACTCCAACACCTCACTGATTAACTTTTTTGGAACTTAGCATATTTAGCTAGGAGTATCTCCCTTTCAGTCTTCCCCCTCTGTACCTCTCCTGCTGAGTTCCAGTAAATGACTGGGAAGATGTGACTACTTGGGAACGCCCTGGAAGATAGGATTAACTGCTTTTGTACGTTTTCATCTTTGATATCAGAGTGGTAAATATTCCGACTCTACATACTTAAACTTTCAAACGTCACTAAATCTTTTGGCCATGAATTCCCAGAAGTGCATTTTTCCAAGCACCTGACCTGTTCCTGAGAATTTGTTGTCTTTCATATGGCTCTATGAATAGATCTCAGCCTGTTCTAAAAAATCATAGTAATAAAAAAAAATAATAAATTAACAGCATCTCAGATTAGACGGCTAATTTTCAGCCCATGCTTACCTGCATCGGTGCAAACACCACAAGCAGCACTCTGCTGCAGCCCACCAACAGCCTGCCCTCTCCGTAAAGTGTCTCCCCCTGCCTGTTTCAACCGAATCCTCCACCAGTTTAAGCTAGTTCTCCTTAGCTCCATCACTTGCAGGGTTTGGTGAAGAGTGCTTCTGCATCCATTATATCTACTGTTTTCATGATTTCTTAATCCCTCTCCTCTCACTGCTTTGTTTTTTCCTCTCTAAACGCAGGAGTCTCACTCAGCCTGTTCAGTCTCCTCATGAGGCAGCTGCTCCATCCCCTTGGCCATGCTCTTCCCTGTGCCAACGTGGTGATGCAGAGACCGGAGCTGTAGGTTTAATATTTGAAGTTTTAATATTTGGTCAAACACATTTTGTCTTCAGCTTGAAACCTGTATGCTCCTTAAATGTGACATAATTTTCCAATTGAAAATATTACCCATGGGGTTTTACTTTCACAACTGGTATTTTAGATATTTAGTGTTTCTACTTTAGGCAGAAAGGAGTATTAAAGAAGCTGACAGTTAACTATGCTGCTGCAGCTGTGAAAATTCATACTGATTGCTTGACAGAATTGGACTCCAACCCATTTTCAGAGAAGACAGATAACAAAACATTTGTGCTTTGAAAAACATGTCAGACAATATAAAAAGCCTTGCTTGCAGAAACATTCCCAAAGCCACAGTGACAAAGCAATCAAGTTTATGCCATGACCGCAGTACAGATGTTCTCATTCAAAAGAAAGGAAAAAAAATAGTAATAATCTGGATGCTCCACTTTGACACTGGAACACCCAGTGGACGGTGGGGCAGAGGAAGAACAGGTTTGCAGTCAACCGATTGGACTTCTCAGTCTCAGGGGTAGGTATCACACCCCCACAATTCAGCCTCGCTGCTGCAGCAACCTCTCAGGGTCACCTCCAGGAGCTGCAGCCCCCCAGCCTCCCCCCACCGCCCCCCAGCCTCCCCCCACCGCCCAGCTCCCCAGGGTCTGCTCGCTCGTGCTCTGTGCCACCGGGTGAGCCCCAAGATGGAGACACTTGCAATAGCCCACAAGAGACCCAAGAGCCCTGCCAGCAAGATCTTGGGGAGAGGAGGGAGAGGGGGAAGAGTATGGAAGATAAAGGGGAAGCATTACCTCGAGCTGTTTGTGTACCCAGTTCTTCTCATTCAAGGCGCTGGCATTTCTGCCCTGGTGATACTGCTCTGTCTGCACGGGTGCCAGCAGCAGGGCACACCATAAACATGCTGCTATGGCAAACAAGGTGAGCAGGCCTTGTCAGATCCTAATCTCAGGGGGCTGTGTGTGTGTGTGAAATACCCTACCTCATCATACACTGATATCAGTAGAGCATTACTGATTATCTGTGCTACTTCGGGGCTTTTTCTTTTAGCACAGGATACAAAGCCATGCCATCTCATCCTCCCCACCCCTCAGACTGATGCCTTTTGGTAGATAGGTCTAACGTTTCTTCACAGCCATTCCCTTGCTTCAGGGGTCACCAGAAAGACGGCTCATCTCACGGCCCTGGCCCAGAGAGCTCCCAGCCCACCCCATTTCTGCAGACTGCCTCGCTTCTGCACATCTCAAGCCTGCGATGGCCAGGACATACGAACGGCCCTCACGGCCCACCCTGAGTGCATACCCAGCTGCAGCAGCAATCCCCAGGCCACCTGCACAACGGGGGCTTTTCTGGCACGCTCTGCCTCAGGTGCTCTGCAAACATGCCCTAGAGAAAACACCCAAGGCAGATAGCTCAGGCTCTGCACGGCCCGCACAGACAGTCCTGCTGCACATCACCGTGAGCAAGGCTCCCATCCTACACGACTGATTCAGGACCACCTTCTTGCTACAGGATGGCTAGAGCCAGGCAGACTTGATCAGGCTGTGGTGCACGGCCTGGAGGGAAGACAAGGTTATGTGGGCTGGGACATTTCCTCCTCCCTCCAGCACAGACGATAGCAGCCTCCTTTCTCTGAAGTGTCTCCTCAGGTAAAGGAGGTAAACACCACGCGGTGGGAGACACACTCTGGCTCTGGGGCTTCCAGGCTCTTTGCCAAGAGCTAGTATCTGTCCTCGTCTTCAGAGAACCCAGCCCCAACAAAAAGTTGTGTCTGACAATCCCTGACTCACACTGATCGGCCATGGACCAGTTTCCCGGTGGAGTTACCCAAAGTCAACGCGCACACAGCTCCCCCGACACTCGCCGATGCTCAGCCCGCTTCAGGAACGCTGAGGCGCGCCCAACGCGCAACCGGCGGCTGGAGGAAGGCAACAGCTCGGGCACAATCCTCCCCCTACCACAACCCCCCAGTCCGACACGCGCTTCCTGGTGCGCCCGCCTCTGTGAGCCACAACAGCTATTGCCGATGCACGCGCCACAGCCTCGTCAGTCTGCAAGAAGAATCCACGACACAATGGGGGTTTCGAGGGCAAAGCGCACAAAGCTGCTGCTGTTTCCGGCACCTCCAGCGCTGCACCTGCGGACACGACCAGCCAGGTTCAGGGCAGCCGTCACCAAGGCCACCTCTGCCTAATTACGTCACTCCACAAGCTCCCGTGATGGCGAGGAAAAGCGGGAAATGATGCGTCCGCACATCTAGCAGCATCTCAGCCCTCAGTGTTAAGACAAATGGCCATCAGCAGTACTCCCTCCCCTCTGGGCGTGGGTCTTGCACCTTCTCCTCCCTTCACTACGAAGCTAGAGGCTGCCCCCTTGCTTGCATCTGACATAATATCATTTTCTGAAATGCAGGTATTTGATGTCAACCACTCAACATCCCCACTGAGGAAATACCACTCTTGCTTCCCAACGTGCTCCAGCAGTACTGTCTACATGTACATGCATACTGTACACGAGAGTGCTGTCACTCCCTGTGTGGATAGGGAGAAAGGGAGCACTGAGAGAGACCTGGAAGCATTAACTGGTTCCTCTCTTACCAGATTTCTAGCCAAAGGCACCAAAGCTCGTGAAGGTCCAACTGGGGAGTGCAGCCACGTGTGCAACTGGCCAACATCATCTCTCTCTCTTGGGTGTTGGAGGTGAGGAGCAGAGAGGAGGAAGCCTCTCCCTGCCCCCGGCCAAGCCATCATTGTTGGATATCCATCAATGGATAAAAGCTGTCCTCGGAGGGTATGTGTCCTGTAGGCACAAATCCTCAGGGCAACAACTCCACCCCCAGTGTGGGAGAACATTTACTGGAATCGGAACCTTTCTCTGTGCCAGCACAGGGAGTTCTGAAACCGCAAGGAACTTGGAAAAGAGAGCTGATGTGCCTCCCAAATCACTAAACTCAGCTTTCAGCAAGAAAATACCGAAGGTGATGCAAGCACAGGGAGGCAGCAAAGGCACAATGCCTGCAGGGTCATCCACGGGGGACTGTGACAGCCTGCACAGGACATCCAGCTCAACTTGCTTCCAGACTGTGAAGAAGGCGTGGGCCCTTGAATAGCCATTCCCCCTCCTCCAAAAATCTGTTCAAATCAAATCACTGCTCCGGAACAAATCGAACTAGCCTGTATGCAGCGTGAGGCAGGGGAGTAAGGCCCCAGGAACCCATCAATGAGAGTTTAAGAACAGGTTAAACCTGCACAGGTAAAGGATTTTAACACGCAGAAGTGTTAAACTCATTCCTTCCCATTGAGAAACCCATGGCATATATTCTGTTCAATTACATCATGTTATTAACAAAACCACCCTCACAGCTAATACCGTATGTATATAAATAAATTATTTTTAATTTTTAAAAAAGAAAGAAGATGGTGACTAAATAACCCACAACAAACCATCCATTTCCCCAAGCCAAAGCTGATTTTATTTGCCCTTCTTCATTTTTGCAGTCTTTTCTTTCCGTTTCTTCACATGCTTTGGGATTTTGGTTTTTCTCTTCTCTCTTTGGGCTTCTTTAACCATCTTTTTCCGTTCCTACAAAGGACCAAACACCATTCATTTAAAGCTAGAAGGAATGAGAGATTCTGAGCAGGTCAATCAATTGTTACACTAACAAATTAATTAACACACACACAAAAAGAAATCGATAGGAATGGTGAGGGGAAAGGAAAAAGGAAGTATACGTTGGGGGTGGAGCCAAGAACCACACACTGGTACTGACAAGGCAAAATTCAACCAGTTAAAACCCGAGTTTCACACAACCTTAGAAGAAAGGGAACAAGAGGCACTTTTAACTCATGCTATTTACACCCAGAATTACAACAGGATGCCTGATCTACGTTCTCTGCTACCCACAGGGCTACTATAGTATGTATTTCTATAAGTCATGCAAAAATACTGATCCAGTAACTGCTGGTATCTCAGAGCAAGCTGATCATCATCAGGATTGGCAAGAAAGGGGGCTATGCTACTGCAACACACTAGAAATTGTACCAGACAGTGAAGACTACACTCAACTGGAAAACGCAAAGTCAGCAGAATGGGGTGGGTGGTGGAAGTAATTGTTGCTAATCTGATGTTCAACCTACAGCTGAACACATAAACTATCAGAAAACTCACCTTACTCACACAAAACCAAGTCCAAATGAAAACCTATCCATAAGGATGAGAAGTGACCACAACATCCCTGCTTCACATCTGAAAGGCAGCAGCTCTAGATTGGTAGACAATGTCTAGTAGAGCACTGCATTTCTATCTGACAGATATGGAATGTATTATCTCACCTTTTCTAGGAAGAAAAGCCTAACAAGCAAAACCCAAACCTTGAACCCCTTAAGCCTACCAAGTTTCACCCTTCTTTTGCACAGCACCTAAAAGGCTGCCAAAAGGCTCTCATCCATGGGTGATACTCTGCAGAAGAGCCTCACCAAAACAGAGCATACTTGTTCTGCAGTTTGGAAAATTAAACCTTAAAAAAAAACAAACCAAACCATTATCCCTTTCTATGACTGTGTCACATCTCTTGCCCACTGCAAAGCTAGTCAGTCTGTACTAATGGTACTGCAAAAGCCACTGTGCTACAAACACTGTCACCAAGTATCCAGTTCTATCGATCAAGTGGTCTCAGTTCCCTGGGCAAAAGGAAGCTAATCAGGGACCACGACCACAAACCTGAACACCAAAGGCTGGAAGAGTAGACAGAGGCACTAAGAGCTGGCCAGGCTTCACTACATTCCTCTTTGTGTAGCCTTGGAATTCCCTACAGAGATCTCACTTCTAGTTTTGTCTAGGCTACAGAGAGCTACGTTATATGTTCCTCTACATATAAACACCATTAATAAAATTCACTTTCTCTGCTCTCATTCCCCACAACAGGAAAAGTCCATAGCTTCTTTCAGACAAGAAGCAGCAAGATCCGCTAAGAACTAAGTTTGGATTTTTTCCTGTCACATAGGCAAAGGTGGGAAAAATAAACAATTCCTTGCCAGCTGACCTTTTTGTCCATGCTAACTTCAGCAGGTTTATCTTTGGGATGCACAGATTCTTTACAGCCTGAATCGGAGTCCTCTGAGCTGCCATCATCATCAGAGTCTGTTTCTGACTCGTCTGCTTTCTTTTCAAGAAGTGCAGGAATCTGCAAAATGTATCAAGAGAAAACTATACCAAACCAAAACAAAGAAACTTAATGACAACACACACACACACACATATATATATAAACCAAAACAGAATCGGCTGCAAAGAAACCCCAGAGCAAGCCTGTGCCACCTGCTTTACTAGAGCCATCATCGAGTCTCAAGAAAAAGAATGAGAAGTAGGTTAACCCAAACTAAGAATAAGGAATCTAGAACGTACAACACAGAATCTTTCAGGTCAGGGCTCACAACACAGCTGTACTGGCACTCCCAAACTAATTTCCAGAAGTTAAACAGTGACTTGCTAACATATGTGGAAGCCAATTTTTAATTATACTTGGATCGTACACAAATCTACCTTGGGGGTACTCTATGTAGGCTTTATTGCAAACACAAATATCTACACTGGAAAACTCACTTATTCTTAAACAAACTTGAAGACTGTGCCACAGCCTGATCCCATCCATATTTATATTTCCATTTTAAAACAGTCTACACCTCTGCTAGATAACATTTACAAAGGAAGGAGGGGGAATCGACATAGGGCTTTCTGCCTTGAATTATACTGCTACAGACTGATCTGTACCCAACTTCTTACCCAATGCACTTTACAGAAGTGTCACTGTCAAGTACGTCAAATACAGTAAAACATAATATCTTATGACTTATACTGAAGGGTTGCTCTTTACACAAGAATTACAGCAAAGCTACCCTGCACATATCAAAACCTGTAGTCATGCTTCAATTTAAATCATTTTCTCTAACTGGAAAACACCTTCCCTCCTCTCCACCTTAACTTCAGAGATCGCATGGCCATAGCAAGGATTATCACTTCATTCTCAAGCAAGCCAGCATCAGCCACAGTGCAGGGAAGCAATTAATGTGGTGTGCAGCCACACTGTCATGCCAGGCCCATCCCAGACATAAACGGTCACTCTGCAGACAAGAGGCTCTTTCATGGTGTCAGCTGCAAGATGAGCCATTCTCTATACACCTTAAGTGCTTTTCTGAAAACAGCTAAAACAAAGGATTTCAAAAAGACCTTCTCACCTTCTGAACACCAGACAAATCCTTCTTCAGTCCTGTAACAGTCTGGTAGAGAATCTACATTCAGGGAGAGAGAAAGAAAATTACATTATCAAAATACAAATCTTAAATCTTTGTGCCCAGAGAAAACTATAACCTCAAAAGAAAACCCCAAATTCAGGGAAAAAACCCATACAGTTAGTATTAGTGCTAACCGGATGATTTTAAAGTTTGACATTAGATTCAGTACTCCACACCTTGGTAACACGGCTTCTGGTTTTGTTTGTTACTATCAGTTTGCAGCAAGAAGAATTCATATGCCCTCCCTCTTTGTTGCAGCGCCCCAGCATGTCTACTCACATTATCTTGCTGAACATTCAATGCCATATCCTCCTCTTTCAATTTCATCATTATATCCACATCTCTCTCGTAGTTTTTAACTTCAGTCAAAGTTCGCGGTATGTAAGCCTTCTTAAACACCTAGCAGAGGGAAAGAAAACACAGACTTACAAATTTACGTATAGTTTCATTATGTTCTTCCTTCCTAATTATGCATCCTTAAGAAAATAATCATGAATGATTTCATGGCTCAGAGAAACTAAAAATGACCGTGGCAGTCATCCACTACCATCTGAATTCCAGCCTATCTTTTTTTCCGCAGGAGCAGACCTAACACACAGTCTACACATTACTGATAGACCATGACTAAGGTGGCTCCTTCCTCAGCTGACTGCCGCCAGGCCACTGACAAGCTTCTCCAATCCTTCCAACTTCATCTTAACCTATTTGAGTCCTAAGGTTTTGTATTCCAAGAATTTTCTCTAATGTTTTTATGGTAATGTTTACAATGCCTTCAGGAGGCAACTCTGCTGAAATGCACTGCTAGAACTTATCTACTTATATAATAATACCTGCTTCAACCTACAGTCCAACTCAGAAAAGATTCCTGCAGCAGTGTAGTACAGTGAAACCTAACTGCAGTATCAACGACAACGTACTTACAATTTACCACGCAGTCTTTCTGAAACAGTCCTCCAACAAACTTCAGTCAGTACCAGATCAGTGAGAAGCATTTTGCTTCTCTTTTTCATGGTATCAGTTCAATCCCAGCACAAATTCAGTACGCTTTATGCTCGTAACTGCCAAACCCGAGTGCTGTGCAAAGAGCAGAGGCCCCCACCTCCACAGAGTCTGCCCTTAATCAGCTCTACTCTTTTGTGAAGGAAGTGACACAAACTACCCATAGTGGCATGAGAAGCCTAAGAGAAATAAACTTAACTTAGATGCTACTAAACCATCTCTCTTACAGGCCAGTACCTTTATATAAGCAAAGGAATAATTGGTGTGCAAAAGATGGGCTTGCAACAAAACACTAGCATCTGACCCTACCTATAGTTCATAAGTTGTATGCTGGGGCTATCTTAGGAAAAAAAACAAAAGACAACAAAAATGACAACAGTAACAAAATTCCTCTTTGGGCAAGCTTGAGCCAGAAGCAATAACAGCTGCAGAGCTCCAAGAGAAAAAGAAGAGTCTTTGATAAATCCAGTCGTATTGACTCCAAAGACAAACACCACATGAACCAGTACAAATAGGGTCTCACTGATACAAATTCAGCCCAACACAGAGCTGATTTTTTAGATTTGGGGGGTGGGTTTAAGCTCTTCTGGAACAGATAGATAAGACTAATATAGAAATGGCTTTATCTTTACATCAAGCCTTTTCAGAACATTAGTAGTTTTCTGTAACGGTCTTGAAGCGGCTTCACTAAATGTAAAAGCAAGGGAGGGAACCAGGACATGGAAGAACTGAATTGGACTGGGTCTGGAGCTAGATAGGCAATTCGGTCACTGCACGTATTCAAATATCCTGTTTCTGTATTGCTGGTCCAAAACCACTGGCATAACCAGATCTCTCCATTCAGTTTTTTTGTTAACTGCACCTGAACTGGAAGATACATCAAGGGACCTAGCTACAAGCAAACATATTAGTTTAGGAAAAGGAGTATTTGCCTTCTAACAATTTATCACTGTCAGCTTTTACACATGGCATCCCTTAATACTTCACATCTCAACTAGTTCAAGACATTTCAGCATCACAATGTTTTGCTTATCAACTGTAAATTCTGCCAAATAAAACGGAGCATTTTTCATTGTTTAGAAGAGGCAAGGTTAATATTAATTATGTAGCAGGAACAAAAAAAATCCTCACTTACTTCCTCATCCACTTTATCTTGACTAGATCTTTCCTCCTCTGTTCTTTTCGATGCTATTTCCATTGCCTAAAGAAATATAAAACAATACAAAGTTACCACTCTTAAGAATCACATCACTTAATCCAACTAACCATTCCCATCTGTGTTTCTCCCTGTACTCTACACTGTCACTCACAAATACTCCAGCTTTCCCAATGGCAATGCCTCGAGTGACACCTAATGGTAACCAACATTTCTGCAAAGCGCACTTGTAACAGCAGATCTGCTTTAGTAAGAGGGAAAACATGCTTGCTGCTCCTCCCAGACCAAATCATGAGAGGCCCTGCATGACTACAGGATGTAACAGTGCAAGGAGGATACAGTGAGCAGCACTGGAACGTGGCTCTTCTCATGCACACTGGGTGAGCCAGAAGTGCACAAGAAAGAGAAACCATGAAGCACAGTTCTTTCTCATTCAATCTCCGGTATGACAGAAAGTACACAAGATCTGGAAATCCCCATGCTGTACTGGTATTTGGACCACACTCTGGCTCTGCCTCGTGGTCTTGATGAGGAATGACACATCAAATCTCCACTCTGTGCATGGCATATGTGACACCCACTTCTCTTGCATGAACTTAAAAAGCTTCTTTTTCTTCCACCCTCCCTTTTTTAAAAAAACATCCAACTGGGAGCAGAGGACTGGCAGCTAGAGATGAAATACATGGGTGCTGCCAGTAGCACTGAGTAAGTTTACCTCCTCCTACAATCAACGTGTTCTGCCAGCCGCTATATTTGGCTAGCAAAACTGTGCCCTGAGTCATCCCCTTCCTCCCTCAGCCCACCCTGCTCACATCTGCATTCTTAACTCCATTCTCTATATAAGCATAGGTATAGTTCTGCAGAGATTCTCCTTGTCAAAAAGAACAAACTAATATAAAGCATCCTGGTTTTAGCAGCACCTGAAACAGACATTTGAATTTTCATGATTAGACTTTTTGAGAAAGTGTTGTCATCCTATAATGGTATAAATGAAAGCCCTATATGCATTTCTGAAGCACAAGCATAACAATGTTACGTAGCAGCTCCCTTCAATAGCAGGACATCGAGTAAATATGATGAAGGAGCTTGAACTAGACCTGATTTTATTTATCAAGTCTTCCTACATAAGCAACAAGGCCACGAGGTCTTACCTTCGACAGATAATCATCAATGTTCTCACTTGTGATAGAAGGATCAGTAATAAACTCAAACAGCTCCCTCACAGTCATCACTGCAACATTGTGCTTCTGGAAAAAGTCTACCAGGAAACAAGGGCAGAGACAAAAACCATATGTAATTATGCATAACATACGCAGCTGTGATGTTGAAGTGACAGCCAATGGCCCTGACTACTTGGGAAAGTCTCAGCACCTTGTACCACATCATACTGGGTTTAGTAATCAGATGACTCTTGGCCATCTAAAATAAAACTGTTCATCTTCCAGACACAACAAACACAGAAAGAAGAATAACTGGATAAATATAAAAGCCAAATCAATTTCAGCAGAAGCCAGACTTAATGGAGTAGAGGCTAAGCAGTAAACAACTTAAGACAGGTGTAATACTACTTGCAATGACTAGGATGAAAAATACATTGCAAAGAATAAGGAATGGAGACTTCAAAACTTTTGCCAAAGAGAAACAGAAGTACCCACTGAGAAACAGTACATCCTAAATATGATCCACCTAAAGGGGAAGACACATTAACTTACTAGAATTCTCCTCAATACTACACTAGAATTACTTTCTTGAGTCAAGTATAACCAAATTCAGAGGCTGTACTTCTGTACTGAAAAACAGCACTGAAAGACACTGAAGACTGCTTAAGTAAGCATTTCCTACTGAAGCTCTCAGGAGATCTCTCACCATGAGAAATTAATCATAGAAAGAATAAAAAAAAAAATTAGTTCGGAGGCATCTCTCTGTCCCCACAGAACCCCAAGTCTTGCAACGCTCTCAGGTAGGGCTGTCTCTGTAGCAGGATTACACATAGAAAGTTGCAGTGACAGGAAACAAACAAACAAAACACACCAAAACCACTGCAACACTAGAGACACTAGAACATCTAGGGAGTGCAAGCCAAGACATGAAAAAGAGCAAGGGTGCAAGTATCTGCGCCAGAAGACAGTTATTAGAAATCCACAAACAGAAACAAGTAAGAAAATACTAGCATACTGGGTATCACCAAACACATAGAATCAAAATGCAGACAGTTTTTTTTCCAGAGACTTTCAAGAGTGTCTGCAAAATAAAAAAAAAGTCAATCTAAAAAGAAAAGGGGGAGAAAAGCAACATGCAGTGACAGATTTCTTGTCCTCAGAGAAAAATACAGCCTACCAGGAGGTATCTGTTATAGAACATGCATACACACACATGAAGACCAAATTTTCAAAAGAAAAATAACATAAAGGTACCTTGTTTATCAATATATTATGACAAGTGATAATATCTCTAACACATTACTCTATGCCTCAATCCTCTCAGCTGACCTGGACAAGTAAGTGCAGGGATCTTCGTAACACACGGTAACTTCTTCCCAGCTGAGGAATTCCAGATATGGATTCCACTCACAGAAGGAAATATATCAGTGTGCCTGTGCAGTCCTTTAAGTAAGTCAAGTTAGGATTAGGGTGGGTGCTGCTGCAGCCTGGGACTGATCTCACATCTATTGTAAACCTGAGATTCAGCCAGGTGACTTATTTTGTCCAGGTAATTTCTACCAACATAGGCCGTACTCTCCTGAACGCGGCACAGTACGCTGCTTCCTGAGGAAGTCACGAGAACCTAGGAGAGGGGGTATTTCAACAGAAGTTTGGCAGCTTCTATAGTCAGTTATACTTGAAAGGACAGAGGTGTGCACATTTCACCTGCCTAGATAAGTCGGCTATCAGAACAAGAGTTGAAGTGCAGCCCGCTCACCGTTAACGTTGGCACAATCTTTCCGCAGGAACTCCAGCGCGTGTGGGTGGTCATGCTCCACCGCCTGAGACACATCAATGATGTACGCGGCCCCGCTGTGGTACCTGCAGAAAAGCAGAGAGCGCTGCACGAACTGCACTGCTGCTGTATGGGAGATTACTGAGGGGCAGGGAACAAAGTGTGCTTCAAACTTAAGAACCAGCAAACAATCTTAACATACTTCTCTAGCATACACCTCGCGTATAAGGGCTAGAGTGGCATTTTTGGGTCAATCCTTTCCCTTCTCTACACTACTCCTCTTCAGGAGAGGACTATTTCCTTAAACTTTAATATTACAGGTTGTATTATTAAAGTTTAAATAGTCTTCTCATGAACACAAAAAGCAGTGTTATGGGTAGAGGGAGAAAAAGGAAGAAAAGCGATACCTCACTAATTTTTTCTCTAGTTGAGTTTTGTTTGGGGTTTTTCTGTGGTTTTTTTTTTTTTTTTTCCTTTGTTTGTTTGGGGCTTTTTTGTCTGTTTTGGTTTTTTGGGTTTCTTTTAAACCGAGAAAGCTCAGATCTGGGTTAAAAGCTATGTAATTACATAAATAAGTTAGAAAACCCAATCACAAAAAAGTCCCCACCTGTCCCTTAAAGGTAGGTTAGTACTCTCACACTGAGGTTGCCAATGCATACATTCTAGACGTCACAATTCAAAGCAAAGTTTAAAAACATACAGCATATTAAATTCACTGAGATCTGCGTGAACAAGTCTGGCATCTTGGTACATTCTTCTCATGTACTGGATGATTTGCAGATACAGCTCCCGGACTTTGGAGTCAGACAACTGAGCATTCTTCAGCAGAGGAGCAGGCCTTGAAATTACAACACAAATAACAAAGTGAATACTTTTTCCTTCTTCATACCAGCTGCAAATGCTTTAATTGCTGTACCTGATCCTTCCACTCACCAAGTCTGTCAAGCAAGTCAGCAAGAGCAGCTAAGTGCACGGAGCCAGCACGAAGGGCATCAAAGCTTGGTGTGTGCTTGCCAAAGATACTAGAGCTCCATTTCCAACACGAGCTAATTTGGACCATGCTACATTAATGTTTGTACTACAAAATAATGAGCTATCTTAATGTATGATTAACAAGCCTTTCCAGCCTTAACCTCTGGTTAAGCCACTTTACAAATTCATTTTGCACACAACTGAGGCTTCAGAATCATGCAGACTGTCTGCAGTAGCAGCTGGCAAATGTCTGGGTATTCTACAAGTCACATGCACATGTAAGAGTAATGCGTCAATTTTACAGGCCTAAGGTAACAGCATGTAAATTCAGATGGTTGGTTTGTTTGTTTTTAATAAACCTGTGTGGAAAGGTACTAATAAAAAAAAAATATTGTATTTTCTAAGAACACTTACCTATCGCCTTTACCAATAAAGCCCATGACAAGCACATGACTTCTCAGCATAATTGGCTCTGGGCAAGGTATCTGGGCTGTATTCAACCTGTAACAGGAACAAAGCCACAGAAAAATAAAACCAAACTCTACTATTTTCATTGCACTAGTGCTAAGAGGAGCTCAGTTGCTTTAAACATAATATACAGTAAGAGTTCCTCTCCTCAAACTCTCACTTGTGAAAAGCAACTAGGAAATGAATACAAAAAGTCACAGCCATTCTGGCTCTGACCCTTCTCTAAGTGTTCCAGTGTCACACAAAGAATCTTTACACAGTGCAGGTTAATCCTAGATTAACCTGTAACACAGTGTGCCGTTACTCAGCAGCAGCTATTTCTAGCTTATCCTCACTTTTCAGTCATGTCAGACAGAGTTCAGACATTGAAGAGCTTAGAGCATGAGCAGCAAGACAAAAGAATAACTTTATTCTTGCCTCCCCTTTCTTTTTTCTCCCACATGGAAGCTTAAGATACTTTCCTGAACACTCCAGAGACCCTAAATGGTAGTGATAGCCACAGTCTAGCAATAGGAGAGTACCTCCTATAAACTTAAAAGTTTCAGTTACCTTTACGTGCTGAAATAAAAACCTGGAAGAATCACCTTATTAAATTCCTCATTTCTTTTTCAGCCCACGTTTTCACCATTTTTCTTGGGTTGCCTTTGCAATATCCATGACGAAATCTTTAAAAAAAGAAATAAATGACAACAAAGACTCTTAGCCAATCAATGCAGTATTAGCACTGGTGATTTTACCACCTTTCAAACAACCCTTCCTCCCCAGTAAACCACGCAGAAGTCAAACTCACCTGAATTCACCACTCACATACTTATCCCGATCTTTAAACATCAGAATAGAGGTTTTGTAAATCTTTATTGCTCTGTTCTCTCCACTCGCAGTACTAGCATGATATACATTAGCCTATCAGATTATAAAGGGAAGAAATGAAAAAAAACTCTTTAAACCAACATAACCTTCTCTCTTCTTCTCTTTCTGACACCTGGAAACAACCTGATCTCACCCCAGCCCCTATGCAGCACCCAGCTGAGTGAGACTGTATGTACAGGCAAGCTCTTTTTCTACCAGAGGCAGCTTACAGAAGTACATAAATCCAGGTAGGGGTGTGACAACGCATACACAACAAAACCGACAATGCACAAGAAAATGCTGCCTCACCCACATCTTAGAGACTGAAACAAGCCCTTGTGTGAAGGGTCAATTTGAGCCTGTGCGCTATTTAGGCAATAAAGCATGGCCCAAATATCTTACATCGACACCTCTACACAGGGTGGAAGTACACCTTTAATCAGCATCCAAGGACTTGGAAGAAAACCAGATCAGCCTAGGGACTAGGCATTCTAAAACTGATTTATTAATTCGCTTGGAAATTTGTGGTCTGGTTTTAATTATCTGTAATGTTACTGGATAATAACAGCACACAAACACGCTAGTTTTGTAAAAGCAATGAAGGTTTAGTAGCATTGAAGTAGAATTTTGTTACACCATTTAGATACTCCCATGCCTGCTGACATGTGGAGCTCATCTAATCAGCCTGCAAGAGAGTCTTGCATGAAGATTTTCTTGGGTTTGTATGTTTTTTCAGGCACTGTTTAATATTACGGGTACATGTAACCTTCCCAAAATTTCAGTTTAACATATAATTAGCAAGATCCACAAATTTAAGATAACATTTAAGTATTCTGAGAAATCTTTCATACTTAGGGAAACTTGTTTCCTTTAACATAAAGTGAATTTTATCTTAAGATAACTTCGTATCAAGGAAGCAACACAAAAAAAAATAGTAGTACTAAACCCAAGTATTTCAAACATCTTCTGAGAACTGTAAAGCTTTCACCTAACTTGCAGAGAAAAAGACTATTATGTCATTTGTAATAAAACTTACTTCTTTCCCTGTGCTGATACAGCCATTGATTTCTGATATGACACCTCTAGTTAGCATCTTGAACAGAATCATTCGGGTCCTTGGATCCAACACCTCAAATTCAATACAGAAAAGTCAACCCAACTGCTGTCTTTGAGGAGGACACAACCCAGTAATACAGTCCAGCCTTAGTACCATATTAAAGGACCCACGGCATCAGACTATTCTTAAGAATCAAATGACAATCCAAACAGCAACCACTCAAAATTCTGCCATGATTCTAGAACAATACTTCACTTTTTCTTTCAACGTGATTACTTTTCTTAAGCTAAGCATATGCTGTTGAGCTAGCTCTAGAAGAGACACAAGAGAATGATTTCCTGCCCAGAGTTGCATTAAATGTGTTAAAATAAGGTTTCTCTTAATATACAGCTATCATAACTGAAATAGACCAGCTATGTGGCCTACGGCCAGTCTTGCTAAAGAAGAAAAAAAGTAAAAAAAGAAAATGCAGCATTTTTTATTGTTCTTTGGAATTTAATAAAAACTTAAGATGGAATTTTGCATTGCATGTATGATCAAATCAATGCTAAGCACAAAAATGAGCTCCAAAATGTTTATGGAAGCAAGTATAATCTTCATATAAGAAAAAAAAAAAGGTAACAACAGGTCTCTTCAGGATAACAAAGGAAACAGAATTCCAAGGCAAAATTCCGTTCCTACAGTATCCATTTTACAATTGATTCCAAAATTCCACATTCTTTGTTCCAGTGAAGAGATAAATTTGATGAATTAAGGACTTACCTGCTCTACTGTTGCTCTGTCTGACTTGTCTTTGACTCGGTACCTAGCAGAAGTGAAAAAAAAATTATATAACCCCACATATGGACTCAGTACTTTGACAGAGTAAAACATGACATTCTGTATTAAAGATAAGATGACAGCCTCAAGAAGCAAGGCTCTCAGTTCATATAAAAGCAAAGGGTTTTCCTGCAGGCAGGGGAGGGAAAAAAAAAAAACAAACCTATAAACATCAGTGCCCTTCACTTTTATAGCTATCTTCTTGTCTTCACTGAATGATGCTCTTTCAGAAGAAAATAGTACCTGTCTTAACAACTTAGGGCTATAAGCTGCCCGCTTAAAGTTTAAAAAAGAAGTACCTTTCCCTCATCAAAACTTCAGGAGTAACTTTCAAAAGGCTTCCAAAGCCTTTTTAGACCAACTGCTTAAGGACCCCTGTTTATTAAAAAAAGAGTATCAGAGATAAAATAGTCTTTTCTAGTGGAATACACCCATCACTTCTATCTTACTGCACCAGTACAATCAGATTTGCTACCAGCAGCAGTGACAAAAGTATCAAAAGTTTTGAATGATTTAAGCAACTGATTCAGAAACCAGAAAGTTTAAGACCAAAGGCAAACTGCATGCAGACGACTTACATATTTTGGTTTTCTTAATAAATTTATTCAAAACTCAGGATCGCACTAAGAAATAAGAACTGGGTTCAAATTATTTAAATGAAAATAGAACCACAAGTAATACTCACATGTCCGATTCCTTCTGTCTAGACTTTTCCATGACTCTGTTTATAACAGAGTCATCAAAATTTAACTTATCTGAAAAACACATAAGAAGTAATGAAAAAAAAAAACAAAATCCAAAGAAGTTTCCTACGTTGGGAATTGCTCCTGCAATTCTGCTGTCAGTCAATATGCCACAACACAATGCTAAAACACAGATGGAGCTCTGTAACAAGCACAGAAGCTTAGCTACATACAAGAGTTAACCTAGCTCTCTACTCTGTCAACATTTCAAAGTAGGACTGTAAGGTAACAACACGGATGAGTGAGACAGTCCCACAGACTTGGAGATGTTACCCAAAAGGCATTACTTCTGGATGGTATTACATCTCACCATTAAATTTGTCTGCTCTTCTCTCATCACAATCAAAAACCATCTTTCTGAATGGAATAAGCAACAGCCTCCAGGATTCTCTCCCCATGATGTATTTAAAATGGCATTTCATTAATTGCTGAATGTATAAAAGCTGCTGTATTTGGCTACATATACCAGCACCACTCTTTTGAACCTTCATTTTAGAACCACTTCATTACAAAGGAAAACACAACCTCAGTTTATTACCCTGTCAAAAGGCCCCAATCACAGCTCATTTAGCCCTAACAGGCTGAGCTGAGCAGCCATTTCCATCACCTGGTAAACATCAAACTATACCCACTAGAACAGCAGCCTCTTCACTTATCACAGAAACTCTTCCTGTGAGACAACTGTTGCATAATGTACCACCCTAGTACTACAGGGGACTGCAATTGTCTGTGGTAGCAGCTTCGAGAATGACCAACATCATCAAAACAGAGCTGATACCCTCCCTCCAGTCCAGCAGCTTGCTCCTACAGAAGTTAGGGAAGAACTACCTTAACTTTATGTGGTCTGGAGAAGAATAAAAAAAAAAAAAAAAAAAAAAAGAACAGTCCTGTGGCTCTAAAGGGGGAGGGAAAGGGGTATGACAGCTGGATAATGGAGACTAAAGGCAACCTGAAGTACTCAAAAGGCATTTTTTAAATCTGTCTGGCAATGGTTAACTGCCATTCCAGTGAGTTCTGGCTTAAGGTAGGCAGAATTAGTCTGAGAATTATTAAAACAGATACTGCTCTGTGACAAAGAAGACAATGCAATTATACTCACCTAAATTAATTTTATGTTCAAATTTCCTTAAAGCCTTGTCTGTAGGGGTAGACATTTTTGCTGAATTGCAGCTAGGGGTCTGTCTATTTGCCTGAAACAAAGGATTTTAAGGATATAAATTGTCTTTACTAAATAGCCCTTTTGAAATACACACAGTATCATTGGAAAAGTCAGCTCAAATGTCTACGTCTAGAGCTCTAAAAAGAAAACCAGAAAAGGTGAGGAAACACATATGGATTAACACCAGATTTTACTTAATTCAAGAAAAGAAAATACAAGTGACACATCAGTGAAAACTCAAAAAAATGGCCCAAATTCAGGGGCATTTCTAGTCCTGGAATTGAGCTGCAAATCTCTCATATTAACAAATATCTATCTCTAAAAGGAATGGAAATAGCTGACATAAACAAGAAGAAAAATGAGAGAAAAAATTAGAAGGTAATGAAAAGAGAAAACTTTCCAAGATGATATTTTTCCTTACAGATAGTCTTCTCCAAACACAATCAATATCTGAACATGATTTCACCAACACTGGACAGCATGTACCTCTAACTAAAGGCAAGAATAAATCACCCAGGACAAGTATGGTGAGTCAGACATGATATGCCATAATCAGCACCACTCAAATTTATCTCAACTATTCTGTTATGTTGGTATCAATAAGAAAAAAGAGGTTTTGAACCTCTAGTGTCCAAGTCGAGGGTCAGAAGGATCCTAGTTGTCATATCACATATGCTTTTCATTCTGCACAATGACAGAGTTTCTATGCCAACAGCATACATTCTAAGTAAATTCACTTCTAGCGCCTCCCTCCATCTCCTATGTTTTCGTCTCCTTCACTACTACTCCAAAACATAATCTGTTTCACCCTGGGTGTGACAAGCAGGTATGGTCTTAAAATTAAATAGAAAAGATGGGAAAGATACTCAAAAGCACAAAGGACAAATACCAAAAAGTAAGCAGCATCAGTAAAGATCAGAGTGTGTAATGAAAATTGAGAAACGTAAGGAACAGAAGGAAGACTGCAGTGACAAAGAGAATCCAGCAGTAGAGTTTGAGACAAGGAAATCAAGTGGAACTCTGGCTGCAAAATACGTCCACACGTGGCATGGCAGAGGAACAGACTGAGGGGAAGGGGATTCTCTAGCAGTAATTTCCATTTGCATTTATGCTTAACATAATATCAACAAAGAACAAAGCCTTCAGGTCAGCCCCATTTGCTCTTGGGTACCCTTGATGCTCACAAGATAGCCTTCAACATACCTGTGGATTGCATCCACCAGCAGCACTGTGGTGCTTCGTGAGTCTTCCAACCTCATCATCCCAGTCCCAGTCTTCATCTTCCTCCTCTTCTTCATCATCATCATTGTCATCATCACCATCTTCTTCCCCAGTGTTAACTTCTTCACACATACATGACCGGCAGTTCCCAGTGATCTCACCTTCCTTAGCCGTTTCCGTTTCTTGTGTAAATTCACTTAAAAAAAAAAAATATACATGTTTACATAACTGCAAATGATTGTTACAGTCAGCAAAAATTCAATAAATTTATCCCACCAAATGATTTCACCAGGTTAGCCCTCCATGTGATGCTTCTCACTTTGCCTGTCTTTAAGCAAGCATATATGAGAAAGTCACTGCCTTTAAAGGATGGACTAAATTTAAATTATCTTTTTCACCACATCAGTGCTGCCTCCTAACTTGTTCTGCGGTTACATGTATCTGGATGCCTCTGAGTCCAGTCAGATGAATACACCAGATCAGGCCAGCTGGCTCCTTCACCAGAGGGGAACCGCTCTGCTCGCTGCCACAGCAGATTCCCACCAGACCAGGTATCACACACAATCTCACCGGGGGCAGGCAGCCAACCTGCTGGTAACTCAGGGCACCTACATGGAAAAAGTCAGACCTTAAAAAGAATTGTGGGAGAAATGAAGCCTTCTGACTTACTCGTGTCTTACTGTCTGTAGTACATTGCACGTTTCTACCAGAACAAGCGTGTCCCAAAGCAGATTTTCTGATGACATTTGACATTTAATTAAATGAATCATAAACTAGAAAGAAAAAGGCTTGAGCCTATAACACAAGATTGTTCTTTTTTAAACCACCACTAAATATAAAAAGCGCCGGGCTTCCAGTGCAACAGAAAACCTGTTCTGATTCCAAAGTTAATCAAAGTTATTTCCTGTCCTAATCAACCCCCCGTTCTCTTCCGCGGCTTCAGTTACAATCAAACAACACAAAGATGAGATTGCTTCGACCACCCCGAGCCCGCAGGTGGGTCTGCCCGTTTCAGCAGCGAAGCAGACACCGCAAACGCCTGAGCAGCCGAGCGAGCGCCCACTGCCTTCCCTCACACGTACAGCCTTACCCCGGGCAACATGCCCGTGTGCGTGTGTGTCCCCAAAACCGCTGCCGGGCGGCCTGCGGAACCCGCCCGGCCTCGCCTCACGCCGGCGCAGGGCGCCCCGACAGGCGCGGCCCACCCCCGGCCCCTCGCCGCTGCCTACCCGTCGGAGCAATCCGCATCGTCAAACTGCCCGGGCACGGCCTGGCGCATCGCCACCGCCCGGTAATCCATGCTGGCGGCGGGAAGCGGCCGGGGGCACCGGGTTGTTCCCCCCGCCCCACGCTGAGGGACCGTAAGCACCGTGCGCCGCACAACGGAGGTGGGCGGGACCCGCCTCCGCCCCGCCCGCTTCTCAGGTTCCGGCGCGGGGATTGGCTGCGAGCGCCTGACGTCAGCGTGACCGGCGGCGGGTGTGAGGGGAGGCTGGAAATGGCGGCGGGGTGAGAGGGTCGGTAACCTGCCCAAAGCGGGCAGACACCGCGGAGCTCTGGCAAGCGCCGCGAGGGGGGACCCGGCAGCCACAGCTCTCCTCTGGGGGCACTCACAGCATCCACTGATAAGTAAATAAATAAATACTCACCCGGGGTACGTCTGTATAATATCGCATAATCCAGTCTGAAAATGTTGCGTCTTCAAACTCGCCTTTCTTTACTAGAAGTGACCATTTATGCCACAGATTCGTGGTTGTTTTCCCTAAAACACTAGTGTCGTCTGTAATAGATATGAATAGAGTTTTATTTAATATACTCCGAACTGTTAAATTCCAATCTTTATTTTAATAAAGCTCCATTTGAGGCCAGAGGAATTCCACGTTTTCAAGCCTCACTGGAAGCATCCTAGGTCACTGTAACACCCCTTACACTGAACGATGTGCTGATCTATTTATATACCAATATAATATAGGATTAAGAAAATAAAAGCGAGCGCTACACTTCCGCTATCTGGCACATAATGGTAAAATTTTAAAATGCAGTCTTTTTTTTTGTTTTTTGTAGATGTTTCCCCATTATCCAAGTGGTTTATGTAAAGGCTAGCAAAAATCTGCAGTTGTGCAGAAAACAGGGATGCTTGTACAGAGAAGCCTTTTAAAAAGACTGAATGGAATAGATGTCACTTCAATCAGCAACACTTCTGTAAAGTCAGCCCATTGGGAGGCTCTCAATATGGAAAGCAACGAGCCACTTTCTGACACGTCTAAAGCTACAGCTTTACTTCAGACTGTCTTTGAGTTCTGCCACTTCAGCTTCTGACACTAGAGCACCTGGAACCTAAATACCCCTTTTCTCCTTCATATAAAAGTGGGCATCTTGAGTCAAATATTCTCTTTCCGTAGCAAAGTGCCAGCTGATAAGGCACAAAAGAGTACAGTGTCAGTACGAAGCAGCAGTACAACTGCTTCCCAAAGAACTTTTTAACCTACAAGACCTAACTGCACGAGGAGGTAGTGCTGCTCTGCTTGGACACCGCCGGCTTCAGCCAGAGGAGAGAGGGAGCACTGCTGGAGGGCCCTCCTGCTGCTCAGCCGCTGCGATACCCAGGTCAATTCCCCGCCGTGTCACAAGGGAGGACTGGAAGGGGAAAGGTTGATTCCATATGAAAACAAACTGCTCTGTTATTTCTTATGAATTACCTGGAAGTTCCCATCGTGCTGGACATCAGACAAATGCTGAGCAAAAACGGGAGCCCCTACGCTGAGGAACTCAGTGCCAAGTGACCTCTCTGAAAGTGGACGCGATGCTACGTATGGCATTCTTTATTTAGCTGTGAATGAATGCAGCGGAAGCAGTGCAGGGCTCGCCTCTGGTTTGGGGACAGGCACGGCTTGAGCCAGTGGCCCTGTCACACACCAAGACACACAGTCATCAAGCTTAGTTCCAGTTGCTGCCCTGCCAGCATGCCTTGCTGTCACCTGGTTGGAGTAGCCACCAGTTTTGGGAGGCAAGAGCTGTCTTTGCGCAGACCTGCTCTGTGCTCTTTCTCCCAACATACGGCCACCAGCACCAGAAACTGGATTAAGACCACCTGTTTACCAGTCTTTTTCCTAGAACCAGCTGTTGGAGGACTCTTAATCCATAGGGGTGAAGCTGCAGAGAATGTGCTATCCTACAGATTCATTTCACTGTCTAATAAATTATTCAGTGCTCTTAAGTAAAAATACTCATTTATTGTAATGACAGGGAATTGTTTGAGACAAAACACTGCCGGAGGATTCCCACATTCATATTTATGATTTCTTTGCTCCAGGCTTCCACATAACTTCCACTACAGCCATAGATTGCATCATGTTTTGTTTTTTTCCCAGGCTTTAAGAACTCATCTGGAAATGGACTCAAACTGTTCTACAAATGATTCAACTGCAAAAGGGTTAAGCAAAACAGGCCACTAGGTAATAGTGGTACCTTCAGAAGGAGGATCTCCTATGTTACAAAGCGCTAGACTCGCTTTTGATTCTTGGTCCAGATCTATCACAGGCTGAACTGCAGCATGGCCTTTGGTAACTCCCTCCGTGCAACTCTCAGGGATGTAGTTTCTCATTTCCAAAATAGAAATGTTTCTTGTGTTCACACAATAGGACATGAAGATAAATGCATTAGCATTTAGAAGGCAATTAGAGAGGAGAGGAAGCTCATATAATTATGTAGATAGACTGCATCAGGCAAATATAATTAAGTGATCTGAAGGATGGAGTCAGGCAATCATAGCCCACAGTTATTCCACCTCACCTGGACACAAAGTAGGAAGATACCATCCTTTGCCTTTAATCTCTCTGAAGAGGTAACTTATTTTTAGCATTTACCTTCAGGTTCACACTGAAGGAAAATAGGGACTTCAGGTTCTCCACTGCTTACTGAGCACAGTGCAGGTTAGCAGGAGGGAAGTGGAGAAGCAGCATTATGGTTCCATGTGCCAGCCACCATACAACAGGGCATGTGAAAAGAGGTGACAGGTTTACCAGTCAGCATTCCTGGGAGTACAGACCTCTGTCAGCCTATGTATTCAGCTTGCACCACTGTAGCTCCGTGGTCCTCCTCACACAAGACTGTCCTTGGAAAACTATTGCCTCCCTTACTCTGCCTATGACTTCATTGTTAGCTTTCCTGAAAATTAAGAGTCACAATGTTTGCTCACACTTAGAGATGCACAAGTCTGCACTTAACGCTGCATGTTATATAAGACAGAGATATATTCTGGTTGACACCGAAGCTGGGAAACTGGGTACAGAGACTGTACTCAGAATCTCTGTGAGTCTTGCTCCTTCCTGGGAAAAGCAACTTGAGAGGACCAGTAACCCTTTGTATTTGCAAGATGAAATGTAGAACCCAAAGGGAAGAAAAGACACAGACTGCCAGCTTTGTGAAGGAATCGGCGTTTCTGAGCCTGTCTTAGAAAATCTGACATGCAGTATGTTCCTGCTGGTGACATCAAACATGAGAGGGACTTCAACTGCCACGTGCTAGGATGAGTTACAATGGCATTTTTTCTATCACACACCCCTCCCCTACCAAATAAGCCAGGGCAGTACTTTGTAGTTTACAGACAGTGCTGTCTCACAGATCTTGAGCTGATGCAAAGCCTGTTGAAATCAACAGACTTCACCAGATTTTGAGGACAGCTGCTTATGCCTTACTGGCATGTCATGAGTGAAAGACAGGAACAATAGGGATTATACAGAGCATGGAGAGACATAGGAAGGGGAAAAAGAAAGCATATGGTCAAGAAACTGTTAAAATTAGATGGTTCACATAAAAAGCTATCTAAAATAGAAAACTCTATGTCCTGAACAGTGATCATACAGAGAAGAAATATAAGGTCAGCATTCAGTTTACTTACATGTAGCTTTAGAAGTAAGCTGCTGCTACATTCCCCTTCTACTCTGTGAGCATAATGAAGAGTGAAGTACTTCCCTAGCAGCTGAGTCCCTCTTTCTTGCCCACGATCACAGTAAGCTGTCACAACACATAGAGCACAAGTAGTTGTGAGGAGCTACACACACCCATCAAAGCAGATGGCCTTTTCTTGAGATACGGCCCCAGCTGGTTCAGCTGAGCTCAGGCTCTCCAACTTCACTGCAACTACAGTAACTTATATCAAAGACTGATAGCAAGCAAGTTCATGTGACTGTTAGAAAAAATTGTTCATGCTGTCTTGGACATTAAGAGAAATTCTGCTGTACATTTTGCAGTCCCTTTACTTTAACTCTGTACAGCAGCACAGCAGGAGGCCAAGATCGCCTACATCTCATGCAGTATAATTGATACTCCAATATTGCAGGTTATATTCCGACTTTATACATACATTGGAAGAGGCACACATATATAGGAAAGAGACATCAGGTAATACAGTACTTGAGCGCTGCTGTGAACATTCATGTAGCTGCATCATGTTTTGGCTAGGTGCCTCCTGATCAAAAATGATACATGCTGAGGAGGCAAATGATTCATGTGTTAAGTTCCAAGCAAAGTACCTCTCCTCCACAGCTATGTTATTTCCATGAGTATTCTTTGAGAACATTGTAAGAAAATTCTTTTTTTGATTCTACATAAATTTTCAAGATACGTCTCAGAAAACACTTGAGTCGCTAAGTCATAGAGACACTTGCAATAGAAGCAGTGTACCTTTCTGCATAGCCAACTAGAAGGAATCTTCAGGTGTGGACACATTTTTGCCAGAGGAAGAATCCATAGTCAAAGAAGAACCATCACATCAAAGGAGAATGCTGAGCAGGTGAGATGAAAAGAGATGGAAGAGACACTATTAAAAAAGAACTCCAGGAATCTAGGAGGGAAAAGGTTTCACTGCCAGAACAATTACCAGTTAAGCCCCTTATAGTTCCTCATGAAAAGCCATTTGTAGAAATGGGGGAATCACTACTAGATTGCATTTTTAAAGAATCCCCCACAAAATACCTGTCTTATTTTCTCACTCAATCCCATGGCTCTCTATTCAAGATATAGCCAGGTTTTGGTACTGAGAACCAGTTTTCTGGAGAGGATAATTTGAACTTGGCTAGCAAAACTCCCAGTCCGCAAGAAGTCATGGTAAGATTTTATGCTGCTTGAATGGAGGCTTGAATGATAAAAATACCTTTCTCTGATAAAGCTAGTGGTAGTGCTTTAAGTGACACGTATATTGCAATATTGTATATGTGAGTGCTGGGCCTCCCAGATGTATAATATCAAAGTGTTAAGAGTATCAAATGCAGGTGCTGGAGTTGCACCTTGAATTAACTAAGTTCTGAATGTAGGGGGCAGCGTACTTTTACTGAAGTTCCCATTCAGATTACAAATTATTAAAATTTTAAATTTTAATTAATTTTTAAATTAAATTGTGTTTAATTATAATTATTACAAATTACAATCTTTTGGTAGGGAGCCACTGGACAAAAGATAGACCCTCCAAAAAACTGGAGAGGGAGCAACAGTAGCATATCATCTGATTCTTTGCATGAGAACATTGTGTATATACCAGGTGTGATACAAACAGAGAAGCGAAAAGATGTATAAAGAACAGTGTAATACAGTACAACAAAGGAGGAAGTACTGAGAGACAGTTTCCACCAGAATCAGTGAGCTGCTGTTTCCTATATACTGTTTTCTAATTTTTTCAGTTACAGATAGTGTAAGAATAAAATTAAAACTAAACATTTTTAAATGCTGGATCAAACTCTACTCCTGTTTTATTACAGTATCTAGGAAGTTCAGTAAGAAGATCATATGGACTGTTACATAAGGTACTATAAAATATTCTGACCATCCCACTCCTTTCAACAGACTAATTCAGTAGCATTTCGAGCATATTTTTTTGACTTCTACCTCTGCTTCCAGTGAGTAAGATCTCCTTTTTATTAGCCTTCTCAAAATTCAGTAAATAACATTTTTCTTCATTTTCTACAATCAAGTTGTTTGGCCAAGTTTAAAGTAAATTTCTTGGGTTTTTAAATTCTTGCATTAATGTCAAAGATTACTGTAAATTAGGCCAAAATCTGACAAATGACACTAGACTTTTCACTCCACTGGAGCTTGATGCAGGTGCAAGGACTGTAGGCATTGTAGAAGGGTGGGCTCCTTCAGCTTCATCATTTCATAATGCTGGTCCACATTGATTTATCTTCACGGATGGGAAATTCCCACTGAAGTTAGTGAAAAAATAGTTTGCATAAATTGAAGAGAGGGTGTGACCTCTTGTTTTGCAATATAAGAATGACACAACCCTACTAGCACTGTGACAGGATGGGGGAAGCTTACTCAAATTTATCCTTTCCGCCTTCTCTGAAGAGATTATTGTCAAGCCATGTGACCTCTCATTTTTCTAATTAGTTGATGTCAGAATGTGGTTGCCTTCCTAGGAAATGTTGAAAGCTGATAAGCACTTTTTACTCCAGCATTCCAATATATCGCTCACAAAGAAGAATATAAGCAAGGAGACAGAAGCAATAAAGGGATTCTACCCACTTACAGAACAGGAAGCCCCTGCCCAAGCCCTTATGAAGCATCCTCAGATATGTGCGGAACAAAATATTCCAATTACCATTTGGAAAAATTATAATTTCAGGAGACAGTTACAAATTTTAGAGGGGTCATGAGGGAGCTAGAGCAGACTCAGCAAGAATAAACCCAAATCACAGATCTTCACTGTGACAACATGGTTTTGGTGAAGGTCAGATAGGGGAAAACTACTGCTTAACAAAGGGCATTTAGGTCTAGATGATGTGACTAAGAGGATGAAGATTATTGATTCTTATTATGAAACCATTTCTCTGAAGACCAATTTTAAAGAGTTAAAACCAAAAACTGTCCAGCAACAGCATTTGGGGGAAAAACTAAACAAGTTAAAGAAGGATACTGAAGGACAAAGTAAAACAAAAGGCAAATTTACAAAGGAGAAAAATTAAGCTAGGGGATAGCTGAAAGTCATGCAGGAAACTTTATTTAGTGCTATCAAATGTCTTGAGGATGCTGAGACTGAAAAAAAAAAAAAAGCCCTTCTGAAACATGTAGAAATGTGGAAGAACTTAAATCTGCATATCATTTCCTTCAAATAAATCATGAGGCAGAAGTGAAGACCAAGTTTAGGGGACAGTGCTTGAAGGTGGATCATACCATATGCAAGAAAGACAAAAAGATATGGGGACTGCAGCATCTCAGAAAAAAGGCAGAAACATGAGGCCAAGGCTGTAACTTCAGCCCTTCATGTGCTAAGGGAAGAAAAGGAGAATACACAGAAATGGCTCCTATCCTTGCAAACAAAATTTCAGGGAGAAAAGGATGGCAGGTTGGCAGAAAGTCAACAACTGTGATCCAAATATAACAAGCTGCCTGCTCAGCTTTGAATTGCAAGAACAATTTGAAAACAAACAAGCCGAGATAAAGACAATGCAACAAGAGATTTGTGAATTCAGAAGAGAGAACTGAACACTGCAGCACAGAGGGTGAAAGACCAAGAACAAAACCGCATCCTGCAGCTTGAAACTGCCAGATGGAAAAAAGAGATATGAAAAAGTCAGAGAATCACAGACAGCTAAGGTGTAATTCAGACTGATACAACACTGTAAGCATCATAAGTATCTGTAATGAATAGAGTTCCTAGTTGCCATGTACAACAGTTTCCCTTCCCTTATCAGTACAAACTTCCACAGACTCAAGCTGCGGGTTCTGACCAAGAATTTGAGAACCAGGAAAGTATATAAACTTGTGTTTCTCTTCCAGAACATTAAAGTTAAGAGCACTCCTTCTCTTAAATCCTTTACTGGACTTGAGTCCCAGTGTGGCATTTTGTCTTATACAGATATTATGCAATCATCTAATTTCAAGTAGTGATCAAACACTTTGCAATTTATTGAATGAGGGAATAAAAAGTTATGAAAATCGCCTTTTGCTTCTTTGAGGGGAAAAGGAATGGAAGGATCAGAACTTAAATGTTCCAAAGTTTGACACCTTATGTCTTTCTTCAGCTTTGCAGACGCTTCTAGATAAAGTTTTCAGAAAATCACAGAATGGTTTGTGTTGGAAGGGACCTTTAAAAAATCGTCTAGTCTTGTCTGTATCTTCCCTGAGCTGGGAAGGTTGAAGCCGGGACGCAGCGTTCTAGATGCACTGTAACACTGATTAGAGAAATGATGGTCACTCACCTTGATCTTCTGGCTCTGCTCCTCTCGATACAGCCCAGGATGCTCTTGGCCTTTTTTCCTGCCAGGGCACACTGCTGGCTCATGGCAGCTTCGCACCTACAAGGGCCCACCCAAGTTCTTCTCAGCAGAAGCTTCTCCCTGGCAAGTCAATCCCCAGCCTGTCTGTTGATGGGGCTGCTCCTTTCCTGGTGCAGGACTGTCTCTCTTGAATTTCCTAAGGCTCCTGTTGCCTCATTCCTGCAGCTTGCCTAGGTCCCTCTGGGTGGCAGCCCTGCACTCAAGCTTATCTGCTACACCCATACCACCACCCGATGTCACGCCATCTGAAAACCCTAAAAGCCCCCTCCAAATCATTGATAAAATTATTAAATTGGACAGGTCCTGTGACAAATCTCTGCAGCATTCTCCTTGTTACTGGCACCCAGCTGGAATACGAGGCTCCTGAGAGCCAGCAGATTACTGCTGAGCTGATAATGACTGCTGGCTAGACAACAGAGGTTAGCCACATCCCATTAATAAACCCCCATACCCTCACCAGTTCAGGAACCTAGGGGCAGGGGTCACTTCAGATGCAGAAGCCTGTAGGGCCGCGATATGCTTTTGTAGCCTGGTTGCAGTCTTCAGCGAGGATCTGGAGATTTACCAGGAACTATCAGGGGACTCTGAGGGCAAGGTCCCAGTGTACTCAGTTCAGGGCCCAAGAAAGCCCAAGCTAACCATCAGGGAGCACACAGCAGGAATGGGGCCAATCCACAGGGGAAAATGGGCCAGAAGCTGAGGGTGACCCCAGCACAGGCAGTTGTCCCACCAACCATGGCACAGAACCACAGTACCTGGGTGAGGCAGTGGCAGGAACAGGTTCTGCCAGGAGTCCCAGTGACTCTGGAAGTTCTCAGCCTCTGAAAAGTCACCATCTCTTTGTCTTGGTTTGGGCTGAAACAGAGTTAGTACTCCTTTTCAGGGACTAGATGAGTGCTGTGTTTTGGATTTAGCTTTGGGTTTGGTATGAGAAGAACGCTGATAGCACACTGATGTTTTCAGCTGCTACCGAGACTTCAAGGACTCTCCGACTCCTCATGTCCTGCCCGTGCGCAAGGGCACAGGGAGCAGGGAGGGAGAACAGACAGAGCACCAGACCCTAATTGGCCAGTGAAATATTCCATATCATGGAACGTCATGCTCACTATATAGAGGAGGGGTGGTTGGGAAGGAGCTCTCTCGCTTCCGGGATTGCAATTGCGGGATCTTGGTATCTCGGGGTTGCTCGGCAGGAACGGGCTGGGAATTGGTTAGCGGGTGGTGAGCAATTACGCTGTACATTGCCTGTTTATATATTTCTTTTTTTTTTTTTCCCTATCATCGTCATTGTTTTAGTTTTATTGCCATTATTAAACTGTTTCTATCTCAGCAAGCAAGTCTCCCTTCACCCCTCTACTTCCCTCCCCCATTCCCAGGTGGGGAGGGGGAAGGGAGGGTGACCAGCTGCGGGGGTTGGTTGCCAACCAGGCCCAAACCACGACACTCCTCCAGCTGACAATCCACATATCACTGTGTCATAATGCTTGATAACACTCCTGGTGCATCTGACA